GAAGTACTTCTCAATTAAAATTACAGCGGTTATTTCCCCCTAGCTTTTGATAATTTCCCTGTCTTGTAGTATTACATACGAAAATTCAAGGGAATTCCAAAACGTGAAGAATCAGTACCCAACTATGCAGGATTTTCAATTCAGTCGCGAAGTGGTAAAACGGATTAAGTCAGTTTTGACTATTGGCCAGTTTTTAATAAATATGTCGGAATCTAAGGGAGATGGCAAAATTTTTGTTATAACCTTTTTTATAGAGCTGATTGAATCCTACAATAAATGTAATTACGAAAATTTCGCTATCTCCCTTAGATTTAGAAACATTCCTCGAAAACTCAACTGGGAGATGAGTCGACTTAAACCATTTTACCACTTTGCTACTGAATTATACTGTTAAAAATTGTCATCTGAATTTGCCGTACTAAATTCCGGAAATTTTTATCGGGTTCAAGTTCAGTGAAATTCCAGGAAATCTTGTCATTAAAAAATCACATATTCCATTGATTTTTTGTTTAAATGATCTAAAAATCAATAAAATACTTGATTTCTCAGTTCAATTTTTCTATGAGAATTCAGCAAAATCAGGAAAATTCAGCGAAAAATTAAAAATTCAATCAAGTTGTGAAATTTCCATCTCATTTCCACTTAAAACTCATGAATTTCCTTAAATTCTGCCTAAAACTAGAAATTTCATAACCGTTTTCCCCTACATCCGATTCAATATCACTCTCATGAGATTTACTATAATATCTTCCATGAAATTTCAAAAAATTTCCAACAGTGTACCTGATTCAAATATATTTTATACTCAATTCACGTATATTTTCTTCCGTCTTGAACCCACAGTAAACAAATTTAAAAACTCGACTAATCACCAATTGAAACCCAAGAATGTCCTCAATCCCAAATACGACATATAATGAAAAAGTGTAATATATCCCCAGAGAGACACATTACGGAGAAATAAAAATGATCTCGACACCAGTCGGAAGTAAAGAGAAAAATCGTTACATCAGCCTTCTTTTTTCTCCTTTTGTTCCTCTTTCACATCCACCCGGAAACAAGCGTCTGGCTGAATCGTGGGCAGGTATATCTTACCCACAGTGAATGCATGAGTTTGTACGAGAGGCTGGTTCATCCCCGGGGAGTCACTACGTTTTCCCAATGCCCGCAGAATCTGGTATAAAGCCTCTCTCCCTGGGCTGTTTTCGCAAAATTGGGGGAACGGTATTTTATACTCGATCGTTATCCCAAAAACTTGGGGAGTGCGGAACGTACGGAATTCGGTCGTTAACTTGTGACGGTCCAACACCCTCGTACAATCGGAAACTCCCAGTGATTTTTCCTCGTATATCCCCTGTCGATACCTCCGCAGCTCCAGCGAGTTTTTTTTATCTCTCAACTATTCGACAGGGCGAAATTTTTCAACTAAAATCTCATTAATTTCCCCTCATCTCTGTCTCCCTTAATCACGATATAAATTTGTAGTGATTAAGGGAGAGAAAGAGACGCCCAAGGGATGAAATAAAGGATATTCTTCAGGGATTTAAGTATTACTCGGGGAAAAAAAGTCAAATGAAAGGGAGAAACAAGAAGAAAACAAAAGGGAGTGAATAATGAAAGCAGTTGGGTGTGAAAAATACTTAAGAAAAGATTTTAATCTCAAGAAAGTTTTGTCCATGCCAAAGAGGAATTTTATCAACGCCATTATCCCCATCTCCACTTGGTTTTCTACCACTCCAACTGCAAAAGCTGACGCTACACTTCTACCAACTCCCCCTCCCCCTAATTGTCAAGACTGTATCAACTATTCCTTCAGTAATTTTGTCTTTAACTTCAAATCGACTCCAACTCGATTCTGTTATTCTTCCTTAATCGCTATTTAATTATTTCACTCCGAAGGGAGCAATAAAGACACGCGGAGAAATAAAGTTTGAATTACCCGGTTCATGGTGCAAATCTACTTGATTGAACAGCGTATGTTGCACCCGAAGATGCAATTTCGTCTACAATTATTGAGTTTAGGAATTGTTGGGAGGAGCCCCATATGTGTCGTGACTGTAAACGACTGGTGCGTTTGATACCGCTCTTGCCACCTCTCGGCGGTGAGGCTCGCATCACTGGAGAACTCCGTTGAGTGCGGATTAGGCTATAAACCGCTACCGACAAACCGCACGACACTACACTACCGGTTTCTCACGGATTTGTTTAATGGAAGGGCTCGGGCTCTAATTCGCAAGGTTATTTTCAATGAAATTCAGGGAGAGCCTCATTCGATTTTATTAGGGGTTCTCTTGTAATTGCGTTACGAGTTATTTATCGAAATGGAGAGGATTTAATCCTATCTGACAATTCGTTTATGGAGTTTGTTATTTATCTTCGTGAATGAATCATGGAATCGATTTTTGGGAAAATTTTGAATATGAATAACTTTGTTACGATGTCGAACAGATGATTCTTATGGCGAACAATTGATTGTTTATGAATTGTGCCTTTTAGAAAATGCTCGAAATTTTCAAAAATTGCAGTTTTGGGATTATTTTATCAATCTTTTGCCAAAAGTAAATTTTCTATTTTTTTTACATTTTAAAAATGTTTTCTAACGGTTCAATATCGAGAATCAAATTCAGGAGTGTAATGTTTGAATGATAAAATCATTTTTAAATGTCCGGAAACTTGGCGTCAAATGAGACTCAAATGAAGGCTGTGATGTTCTGCTACAAAAGTCAAAAAGCATTTCACTGGAGAAAAAATAGGCAACGCACTTGGATATCCTTGAAGAAAAATTTCAAGTTGACTTCCGAATGTTTTAACTTGAGACATTCAAAGGTGTCACCTAGAATCTATGCAAGTCTCAACTTGAGACACTGAAAGTCGCAAATTAAGACCTTCTAAAGTCTCCACTTCAGAGACTGATAGTCCCAAATTAAGACCTTCTAAAATCTCCACTTCAGGCATTGACAGTCTCAAATTAAGACCTTCTAAAGTCTCAAAAATAAAGATTTTCAGGAGGCTTAAATTGAGATCCCCAAGTTTCAAATTGAGACATTCGAAACTCTCAACTTGAGGATTTCAAGCTTGAAATCAAGACTTTTGAAAATGTTATTTTAAAACCTTTGAAATCTTAAAACAAGGTATTATGATTTCGGGTGAAATGCAACATCGTGATACGCAGTTTATACTGTCCACCTGACTGTTGACATTAGTAAGATGGCTAGATCACACGCCTGACCATAAATATTTTGTACTACTTGATGCTAGAGTCCTAGACCTCGTGATGTGGAACGCTATATAAATTCCCGTTTTTAGTGATTTCATGATCAGTGTGACACGTGTGAAGAATAAATCGATTGTAACGAAAGACAGTTTTCGCAATAGAAAAACATGAACACTCTTAGGAAATAATAAATATGAAAGAAAGGGAACATTTTTTAACGATTCTCGGAAAATGATTCAATCTTTTTCGAACATCATCTATTCTCAGAAACTTTGAGCACTGTTAAAAAAAGTTGGGTAATACTATAGTTATATTTACTCATAATTTCAACAATTTTCAAATTTTTAAATTATTTTTTTTCCCAATTTAAAGTCTAGAATTTACAACCATTACGTAGAGTCTCACGAATTTTGTGGAATTCTACACTAGTAATGTCTCCGTCGTGAATCCTGGCTTATCTTAAAAGTCAGTGAGCTTTGATATTAGCTCACTACTCAGTAAAAAACTTTTTTTTCCAAATGTATACCTTTATCTGAGAATTCTAAATTGAATTCAGTAGCGAAGTGGTAAAACGGTTTAAGTCGACTTATCTCCCAATTGAGTTTTTGAGAAATATTTCCGAATCTACCGAAGATAGCGAAATTTTCGTAATTACATTAGTTGTAGCCCTCAATCGGCCCTACAAAAAAGGTTATAACAAAAATTTTGCTATCTTCCTTAGATTCCGAGATATTCATTGAAAATTTGCCAATAGTCAAAATTGACTTGTACCGTTTTACCACTTCGCTACTGAATTAATGCCTTTATTGCCTTTAGAAGCTAAGGCGAAGTATTGGAAACCATCCCGTGCATCTATATGATCAGCTACCTGAAAAGGTAGATGACCCAGAGAGGTAGGAATTTAAATTCAGCAGCGAAGTGGTAAAATGGTTCAAGTCGACTCATCTCCCAGTTGAGTTTTTGAGGAACATTTCCGAATCTAAGGGAGATAGCAAAATTTTCGTAATTACATTTGTTGTAGATCTCAATGGGGTCTATAAAAAAGGTTATAATAAAAATTTTGCTAATTCCCTTAGATTCCGAGATATTCATTGAAAACTGGCCAATAGTAAAAATTGACTTATACCGTTTTACCACTTCGGTACTGCATTGTGTGACCTAGCTTACAGATTACGGATAATTGTCGTGAACGACCTTTAATTTGATTTTTCCCATTAATAACTCCTAAAAATGCATTGAATCAGTTTATAAAATCAAAAATCTAAGGTGAGCAGGGTTTTCTATATCTCAAAATTTGGCTGAATTTTCCAGTCAAAGACTTGAATTTGGTTTAAGAGGAAAAAGTGAATGGAATTTCAAGTTTCTACGAAAATTCAAGTGAAGTCTCAATTTTTTACCGGCTAGAAGACGGAAATTCCACAACTTACATGCATTTTCAAGTGAAAATGAATATTCACTACCAAACTCCCTCGAATTTTCACGAAATTCCTCTAAAATTCTTAGAACTTAACGGAACTTTTTGAAGGAATTCTCTGAAAATTCAGAGGAATCTGGAATTCAAGAAGATATTTCTCAGAATTTTCCTGATTTTTTATTACTTTTCTTGGAATAACTATATTGAAATGTACAGATCTCAAAGATTTTTCCATGAAATTAAGAATTTCCAATTACAAAATTCCGTGAAATGTCCAAGAACTTACCGGAAATTTCAGCACAAAATTGTTAACAGTGAAGTATACAAACTGATTGGAAAAGGAGTGAAAAATTCCATAATGACATCACTAACCATTAATCCAGGTGCCGTTAAAGGGTTTAGTGGACAACGAGCCCCACAGCCAGTCATCCAGAGTAATGCTGGATGTGGTAGTTGTCCGTGAGCTTGGTGAATTTGGACTGGCGGTGAGTAGAATTATCGCTGTGATCAGCAGTGCAAGCACTACGATTGCTATCAGTCCGCCAACCAGCAGTCGACGCCAATTTCTACGGTTGTTTTTCGTCATCAATTCCTGCAACAGAGAAACAAGAAAAAAATGATGCTTCATTCAAGTTGAATTTCCAGTTGCTTCTTCCCTTTGAAGAAGATTGGGGAAATTGATGGACTTTGAGGATAAATACGATACAATTTTTCCTCTCTCAGTCACGGAATTTTCTCCATTGTGTACCGAAGGGAGTGAGAATAAACGCTTGTGGTAGAGGTAGGGCATTCATCCATACCGGAAGCACGAAAATTTTATGTGCTCGTCAATATTTACCCGAGAGATGATTTTCTTTGAAGGCAAATTGAACGACGAGATGGAATGGGAATTTCAACTACGATATGATGTGAGAAAAAACGGCGCTCTGCCGCTGGCAAGCCAAATCCCTTCGTAATCGATTAACTCTCATCTCAAGCAGAATCAGGTTTTAAATTATATACCTGGTTAAATTTATTCAAATATATGCCCGTAGATTTACCGCTATCCCTGTCTATTATGCATATCCAGGAGCAGTTTTTTCCCAAACGTTTTATGTATTTTTGCATCCAATGCTGATGAGAATCTTCATGGGAAGATGAGAAGAATGTCAAGTCAATTTTTCGGGCGACTGCTTTGTTTCAGTTTACATGATGGAAGGAAATGTATATAAATACGGATTATTGTGACTGTTCTCGTTCCGAACTGTTTGAGAAAAGATGACAACATTTTTAAAGGGAGACTACTATGAGTTTTAAAAGTTGTGGTATATTGGAGTGAGATTTCCCATGCGTTGAAGATCGATTACATATGTCTAAAAACGAATAATTAGTGCAAAAAAATAATTGGTTATTGTTCGTTTGCATTGTTAAAAAGTTGCGTCTGAATTTGCCGTGCCAAATTCCGGAAATTTTTATCATGTTCAAGTTCTAGTGAAATTTCAGAAAATCTTGTCATTGAAAAATGAAATACTCCATTGATTCTCTGTTCAAACGATCAGGAAATCAATAAAATAATTGATTTATCAGTTCAATTGTTCTGTGAAAATTCATAAAATCAAGAAAATTCAAGGAAAAATTATGTCATTTTGATTTTGAATATTCATGTTCTCCTGAAAACTCAATCAAATTGTGAAATTTCCATCTCACTCCCCCTAAAAATTCATGAATTTCCGTGAATTCTACTTAAAACTTGAAATTTCATAACCATTTTTCCCTAAATCCCATTCAATGTCACTCTCATGAAATTTACTACAAATGTTAAAATTAAAATGTTAAAAATAGTCCAGGGCCTCCAATTTTTGAGCTACAGAGGTTTTTTTTTCAATTTTTGAAAAAATGTGAACAGTAACAATTACGAATTAGTCTTTTAAAATTCGACTCCTACACTCATTCTTTCAGAAGAATTCTTCGCGCCATTTTACATAAATGGTGCAAATTTTTATTAAAATAATAACGAAATTACCTATGTAGGAATTGAATTTCAAGAAACCAATTAGTAATAGTCACTTGTGGTAATTTAAATTTAAATTATCAACAGAAACGTAAAAAGGAATCTATCTGTCCGATATTTTGATTCTCACAAATGAGAATAATATTATTGAGTGTCACATAATTCACGGTAATTATGCTTAATTTTATTTCAATGTTACGGTCGGTCATTTTTTTATAACGTCTGAATTTTGAACGGAGTGAAAGAGGTAAGAAAACCCAACATTTAAAAATTAGAAAGAAAATTTATTACACACTGCACATATTTGCCAAAAATAAAAAAAAAAACTTCTGTAGCTCAAATATTGGAGGCCATGGACTATTTTTAACATTTTAACAATTCGTTTTTCCGCCCTAATTATTCGTTTCTAGACATATATAATCGATCTTTAATGTATGAGAAATCTCATTCCAACAGCCTGCGACTTTAAAAACTCATAGCAGTCTTCCCTTAAGAAAATAGGGGAGGATAGGGTAAAATAGACCGGGAGGACAAAACGGACCACCGACAGAAAATGGTAATTTTTGTTTTTTTTTTCTTTCTTTCAAATCAGGAACACTGAATGTGTTGAATTAAAAGTGAGTTTCTTGGATCGTAACCGTCACAGGGGTTTTATACGGAACTAGTGTCGTTGAACCGCAATTTGATCAGATTTTCTAATCGGCTCAAACCACAAATGACTTCGAATTTTCTCCATTCGAAAGAAAAAACAAAAATTATCAATTTTCTGTTAGTGGTCCGTTTTGCCCGAGAGGTCAGTTTTGTCCTACGGTCCGTTTTACTCTACTAATCCCCTAATCATTTTCCATGTTCTGAGGCAAAAACAATAATTTTTTAACCCAGGAAAATCCGAATGCATTATAAACACGTCATATAAAGATAAAACGACATTAATTTCTTGCGAGAACAATTTTTACCCCAGAAAATGATCATGTCTTGGTGGACACTTCCTTCATTATTTACAACTAAATTGATTCAACACTTTTCAGCAGAACTAATTTTTTCTCTCCGTGTATAAGCTTTTAATTCCTCTTTGTCTAAGGTACCATAAAAAATCCTATAATATTAGAGGCAAGCGATAAAACGCAAAAAACAGCCTCTGTGGTTCTTAAATATATTTATAAATTATCCCTATCGAAATTAAATTGGATCCAACGGTTGAGCGGGACTTTTATTGGCGGAGGGTTTGCTAAAAGCCACGTGAGAGTATCGAGAACCACCGAGGTAATTTCATTTTTACCAATAACGGAAACGATCCTCCGGGAATCAGGGGAGACCCGTGTGAGAGAGATCCAGGCGGGAGATATCGTTTTTTCACGTGTAAGTATCGCACTGCACGCGAATTCTATACTCACTCTAGATTTTATATCTTCTCGTATAACTCGGTTTTATCGGTTGATCATTCTTTCCAATTCCGTCATAAAGCACCTCGTTTATCGCTTCGACGTGAATTTTTTATCTGGTTGAGGAGTAATCAGTCTACAGCTGAAGTATTTTGAATGTATTGTCTGGATGGTGCGGGAGGAGTTGAAGAAGATGAGTCAACATTTGCGTTCGGATTTCCGCACGGAGAAACAATGAAATTGAAACAATTCACATCACGTTTCGGAAAAAACTGGAATTCCACGAAATATTTCTTTTACTCGGATGTTAGACGATCGCAATGCAATGCACTGAGAAAAATTTTCTAGAAAAATTTGCTAAATTTGGTGCTAGCACCATAAACGAGTTACAACTTGCACACTTGGCAAAAATTATTGTGTAGCACTAGAAAACTCTTGTGCAGCACATTGTTAGAAAAAAATGAAATCTCATGGACAGTTGACTACTAATTTTCAGGACAGTGACACTGAAAGCGATTTAGGGGAAAAAGATAATGAAATTTCAAGTTTCATGGGTTTGTTTATTTGCTTTTCTGTGGTATGCTAAACACTCAGGGGAAATTTCATATTTTAATTGAGTGAAATATCCCATAAATGACAACTCAAAGAGAAGGAAGGGAATGACTGAAATGCTTGATAGCAATAGGATTTTTCGTTGAATGTTTTTTATGAAAAGGTATTTTGATTGTTTTCTCTAAATTTTGTAGTTTCCGAAATTTTTCAAGGAAAAACTTCACTGGGAGAACCTATTAGTTCTAGCCGAAAAATTATATGTTCCCCTGAGGAGATCGTAGATTTCTGTTGAACTTTCTATTATACTGTTGGAAAAACAATTAATTTCCTGGAGAGTTGACTACTAATTTTTAGGACACTGACACTGACTGCGATATAGGGGAAAAAAATCATGAAATTTCAGGATTGACTGAAAATTCTATAAAATTCCAGAATTTTAAGCAGCATAACAACGATAATTCCTTAATTTATTTGAATTTCCAATCTAATATGAACATTTAGAGCCGAAACATTGAATTTTCAGTGAAATCTGAAATTTCATGACTTTTTTACCCTCTAAGTCGCAGTCAGTGTCACTGTCCTGAAAATTCAAGAATATATTTATCAGAATTTTCTGGTTTTCTATTCATTTTCAGGGAAAAATGGAACTGAAATTTACAGTTCTCTTTCATTTTTCCGCGAAATCCTGAATTTTCAATGACGAAATTCCTTGAAATTTCAATGGTAATTGAATCCAATCAAAATTTCCAAAAAGTGTACCGGAAATTTCTGATTCTGCTGAAAATACAATGCAATTCCCAATTTTTGATCAGCATGCAGGAAAGCGTAAATTTCTCACAAAAGCTACTCAATTGAATTTGTAATCCAAAAATGATTATTAAGTAAGAAATCAACAATAAGAAATTAAACAATAATAAATTAAGAATTTTAATCAATTTTGTTTGAATATTTGGGCACAACTGCGGCATCACCTGAGACATAGTAAAAAAATTCACTTATATTTCAACAAATTTGCGCAATTTTCATGCAATAATTGAACTGAAATACCCAATTTCCGCTGATTCCTTAAAAATTTCCAAGAATTACAGCAGAAATTCCCTCCAAAACTCCTCAAAATTCTCTTCTGCGTTCATTTTTAAATCCATCCGGATATATAATCACGTCTCCCCCCACCATAAATCATCCATCCCCTCGCTCCCCGCAATTCGACCTCAACATAATACACCCCCAGCAATACCTCCAATTCTCAAATTGACTTCTATCATTCCCCGAATTACTCAATAATTTCCACTCCCCAAGGATCGCCTGGCCCCTCCCCCCCCGCATTCGATTTTCCCGTTCGCTGATTAAATCGTCCACCTCCGCGTCCCACCGCAAGAATTTACTCACCATGCGAAGAAAACAGCCCGCCCTCTCTGTCGCTCCCTCTTATTTCAAATACCCTAATTGTCCTCTTTTTGTGCCGGCGTCGGTGTGGAGAATCGCTAATCGGAAACCCCCTGAACAATGAGGCATTCGAGTTTGACATTCAGGTATCGTAAACCTCCTCCAATCCCCAACGGACGACTTGTCCTATGTACAAACTGACCTTTTGTATCGACCTTAAACTTTACGACTAACGTTTTCGTCGTACATTCCAGGAGGAATCGGCGACCGGATATGTGAGAA